TTAGATCCTGTCTCCATAAGGATCAGCTAATAACCTTTACTGAGGTCGATCTTCATAAAGAATTTGGCCCCTTCTAGTTTCACCATGACAGTCTCTGGGTTGCCAATAGGTTTGGAGTCGAATTTCTTCAAGAGGTTCAGCTTCATGAAATCTATTCAGAAGTAGTGTGAACTGTCCCTCTTCTTTGTGATTACCACTGGTGAACAGTAGACTAAATTTGAAGACTCAACTTCTTGCGTGATTGGTCTCTCATTGCATAAAGCATCTGGTAGAGCTTGACATTGACTGGATACCTGGTTGTGATCTCAATCTTGTGTTGTACAAGGTCTTTTTTGTCTGGTCTCTCTGTGAAGATATCTGTATACTAGCACAGTAGATCTTGTACATCTTTGTGCATCTCATTCCCAACCAGTGGTCTTGAGTCTAATAGGTCTTCATCTTCTATGACAAAATCACTGTTTTCAAGTTCTGCATTGTTCATCTTGCCTCAATAGCTGCACCCATTAGGTCTTCTTCTTCCCTCTTGAAGTACCTTTCAACAGATTGCTATGGTAGATATTGGTCTTTCTGTCCACTCTCACTTATATTCCATTCTGTTGACCACTTCCTCCACTTTCAAAGGTCCTTTCCACTGCAGAGTGAGTTTGTTGTTGTCTGTGAGCAGCAAAACCAAGACCTTTTGTCTGATCTTGAAACATCAATCATTGGTCTTCTTCTCATAGAAGTGCTTCTGACTGCCTTGAACTGCATACAAACTTTCTTGAGTGAGTTGACATTGGCTTCTTAGGTCTAACACATATTGGCATGTGTTCCTCACTTCTAATTCTTGTGCTGTCCACGGTTCTTTCAATATCTGCATCAGACCATGTACCGTACTTCTGTACAGTAACTTGAAGGGTTAAAATCATGTACTTGCTTGTGGGACTTCTTGGTAAGTAAATAATACTGCCTGTAGGTACCTGTCCCAGTCATGTGGTCTCTCCTGGCACATCTTCTTCAGCATGCTCTTTAAAACTCCATTGACTCTCTCACAAAGTTCATTACATCTGGGGTTGTATGGGGTGGTAAAGAGCTGGTGCTGATGAGTCTGCACACTTCTTGGATCAGTTCTGAGGTAAACTGGGTTTCTCCGACATTCAAGACTTCTTTTGGAAAGCCTATGCTGCAGAACACTTCCAGGAGGGCTTCTGCTATTCTCTCTGTCTCAATATTCGGTAATGTTATGCCTTCCGAGTAATGTGTAACATAGTGAACTACTGTCAGCACATACCTGTTGCACTTATCAGATGCTGTTGCTAGTGGTCCAATCAACTCCACAGCTACTTTGCTGAATGGCATCTCACCCAGTGGCACCTTGGATACCTCCCTTTTAGGTATTATCCTTTGGAAGATGTCACATGACCTGCAGAATCTGGTTACATCTACAATGTATAATAATTGAAATGTGACTGTATTTTACAA